GATGTAAGCAGGTAATAGAATACAAACAGTCCCGGAAATAGGAAGTGTCCACTTAAGGATTTTTCCACTTTACAATGATGCAAAGCAATACGTATTCAGTAGAAACTGTACCTGGAGTTCTGAAGTTTGACCTTTTTCCCAGGCTAATGATATGCCTGCTGCTTGATATTCTTTTACAAGTCTGGGCAGCTTCCAGTCAACCAAGTGATCACAAAGTGAAACCAATACAGGGCACCGCATTGCAAGCTATGTTCCGTAGGTTAGTTGTAGCCAACCTACCATATTTTCAACTGATGGGCTTCCCGGGAACCTAACCCTGTCGCATGTGGAGAAGCAGCTGTACATTGTGACAGCATGGTCTCAGAAATACAGAGGAAAATCATATGGAGCAGGCAAGAAAGGTGTCTCAGAGGAGAGTGATTTAGCCAAGACTTCAGAGAGCAACTACTCAGAAGGGGACAGGGGAGAGAATGGAGAGGAGGGTGTAGAATGGGGCGGGGATGTAGGCAGCATGTGCAAAGTCCCCAAGAAAAGGAGGAGGTCTCATATGTTTTTAAAAATTTGGGAATACAGTTATTAGTGTCATATCAGATGCTCCAAAACATTTACCTGAACAGAGGAGATACTTCAAAAGATGCCATCTACCACAGTCACATGAAAACCGTCTACTCATACAGACTGTACACAGACACAAAATTCCAAACATTCTGCCAAACATTACATTTCAAATTTTATAGTAATTTCTTTTATTGTTGGTTTGTTTTTGTTTGTTTGAAATTGAATCTAGCTTTGTAGTGCAGGCTGGTCTTTAACTCCCTATATAGCCCAGGCTACCTTCAAACTTGCAGTAATCCTCCTGCTTCGGCCTCCCAAGTGCTGGGATTACAAGTGTGCACCACCACATCCAGTTACAGTAATTTCTAACAGAAATATTACAGTTCTTATCATGTAGTCATACTCCTTGATTGGGAAACTCTCAATTTAATAAATAGCTCTTTATTCTCATACGCCTTCTAAAAGAAAAGCATTAGGGCCAGGAATTTAGCTCAGTGGCTTCACCACCTGTTGCACAAGTGCAAGGACCCAAGTTCAATGCCCAGTACCAAAGAATAAAATTAAATTAAATTAAATTTAACAATTCCAGAGCTATTTCCTTTTACTTATCCAGAGACTTGCCATTTAACAAGCTCTATCTTATAATCATTCTAAAAAAAAAGAAAAGCATTAGAATTCTATTCTTGGGTGAAAAAAGTAAGGTCTTGAAAGAATATTACAGCCCTTGAATACATACATATAAACATATACACTCTAAGCAGTCCAAAAGTGCCCGGCGAGGTGGTACACACAGCAGTCTTAGAGGCTATGCCAGGAGGATCTTGAGTTCTAGCCCAGCCTGAGCAACTTAGGAACTCATGCGGCCGAGACCCTGTCTCAAAAGAAAAAATAAAAAGGAGTGGGGATGCAGCTAAGTGGGAAGGCCCTAGGTTCAATCTCCAGTACTGCAAAAAAATGTTAAAGTATAAACTGCAATATGTTAATAGAAGACAGGAACTATATGAGGCTTTATTTTCTTATTTTTGCCAGCTCCTTTCTCTGATTTTTTTTACAATCAATAATTTTTTGTTGATTTTGCTTTGTCTGGTTGAGATACAGTCTCACTATGTAGCCCAGGCTATCCCTGCTTCAGCCTCGAGAGTGTTGGGATGACAGGCATGCATACACTCACTCATGTATTTTTTAAAGCTCACAGTTCTATTTCAATCAACAGACATTAAAATCACAACTCTTAAGACCAGGGATAGCTCAGTAGTAGACGGCTTGCCTAGTTCGCATGCGGCCCTGGGTTGGGTATCAGCACTGGCAAAAAATAACAATAACTCCACTAAGCATCTGTCATTTCTTGGATGTTAAGGGTGTCCATGTTTCAAAAGGCTCGGGACCTTCTGACCAGGAAGGAGCGAAGGTCTGAGGCACGTGCACAGCGGGGCGCACAGCTCAGCTTAACCGTGTCGCTGAGGAAACTGACCCTGCATCAGAAACCTCCGAGCTTCACTTTCCCTGCGCTTAACTTTCCACTCCTGAAAGTGGGGATGACAAGAGTTCCGAGAACCTTAGCACTCAGACGATGGCAGTCTTGCCGCTGACCGCTTCTGAGCCCCACTCTTCACCTGAAGCCCACCGAGGCACAACAGCAGATGCTCACAGGCACTCTGCTCCTCTATGGGCCACCAAATAAAAGGCCTTGTCGCCACCGGCCAGCTCTGACACAGTGGCCTCTTGGCAATGATTTTTATCCAGAGAAGCACAAAATTTAAAACATAGAATGTTTTGGTATTTCTCTTTTTGAAAAGTAATATGAAAAAAAAGAAAAGTCATATGAAAGCTCGACCTTTATCTTTTTTCTTTTGTTTGTTTTGTTTTGAGACAGGGTCTCACTATGTAGCTCAGCCTGGCCTCAAACGCAAGGCGATCCTCCTGACTCAGCCTCCCGAGTGCTAGGATTACAGGCATCTGCTACTATGCCAGGATAACCTTTATCTTTAAAATAATGTATAGTTCATAGAGGGAGGAAATGCTGTATTGCGCTTTATCTACAACTTCAACTGAAAATTATTTTTAAAGTATGTTCTCAGTGGTTTAGATGAAATGTTAGTTAAATACACTTCAAGATAATCATGTGCTTTCTCTTCATAAGACTCTCACATCTCGCCAGATGTGGTGGCGTGGATCACAAATTCAAGCCCAGCCCAAGCAATTTACCAGCTCAAATTTTAAAGGGGGGTGAGGGAGTGTGCCAGGAATGAAACTCAGTGTGAAGGCCCTGGCTTCAATCCTGGGACCACCAAAAGAAAAGAAGATATTTTTATTTGCAGGAAAATGATGTCCCCTCGTGGTGTGGCTCTCAAACCTGTAAACCCAGCACTCTAGGTGCTAAGGCAGGAACTGAAAGTCTGAGTCCAGCCTGGACAATTCAGCAAGACTGTCTCCAAATGAAAAAATTTTTTAAACAGGGGCTGGGGATTTAAGCCAGTGCAAAGGGCCTGGGTTCAACCTCTAGTGCTGAAAAAAACAAGGGCAGAGGGGATTATCTTTTGTCTCATACTGAAGCAACTTTTCCTATGTGTGCAGCAGAACAAGCTTCTGAGAAGACAAAACACTCAGGCGATTTCACCAGTGTTCTCTTTTTACAGCCTCTTTCACATTAGATATACAAGTCCCAGGTACTTAAGTCTGGAGCAAAAGACAAACACTATCCCTTAACAGGATTACACAGAAAAGGAAACATTTACTTTAAGAGCAACCAAGGTATTTGTTCCAATTGTGAACACTAATGTTATCTTGATGAGTTAGTTATTCGTCCCAACACCCTGGCCTGACGCCTGGAGGCCTTCAGACCAGTTCCACCTCTAGCTGTGCGACCACTACAGCAGTTCAATAATTTGCTGATAAAGAATCTTAACTGCAGTTCCTTACAGATCTTAAGAGATTAAGTGCAAGCCTTTACCCCTCATTTTACAGATAAATGAATTTTTGGTTTTTGAAACCAAAAGAACTGAGATATCTTATAGAAAAGATCAGAACTACAGTCATTTGGAAAGCCCACTCCAGGTATTCCTGCACACACAGCCCTGCCAGACGAACAGCAAAACTTTCGTCAACTGACAGAGCCACCTGCTCGTGTAGGAATCTTTTCAATGGGCTACACAGCACATTTTAACTGTTAAAGTCATCCAAGAGGACATTAGTCATATAGTACTAAGGTCCTTTGGATATTAAGTGTGGGAGCAGTTTTCATTTCATCAAATATCCTCTAATTTAATTTTTCCATAATTAACAAGATGACGGTACTCTTGTAAATTAAGATAATGTAATTGTATTCTCTCCCAAAAAGTATAGGTGGAAGTTGAGTGATTCACTATTTTCAACCAGCTAATCAATAATATGCAAATCCTGGGGCTCAGGAATACCATATGTGGGAAATCTAATAATTACGCTAATTAAAGCTTTTTTGAGATGCAGAATGTAACAGAGATCCTTAATGTTGTAAAGGTTCACGTTCACACCAAGCTTTTTAAAAAGTATTCACAGAAGAGAGCTTCTTTTGCAATTTATATGTCCATAAATGTTCCCATTAGCTAAGAGATGTTTTGGAATGTGGTCAAATGATATTGAATGTCAAGTCCTAATAGCAGGGCTGGGCTGAAACGGCTCCCAAGGATGACTGTGCTCATATGTGGCCATTGCTCTTTTTCAACCACTTTTGTCCCTGAAGGGCTGAAAGGAAGAAAATCTTAACTTCATAAATGAAGGCGGCATTAATGAAGAGATAAAACGAACGTATATTTTATCTCTGCTTCAATACACAAATGGATTTGGGCTTGTTTCAAATTGTTGACCGTCTGCTACTAAAATATGCATCACTCATTCTTCCCTCAAAAGAAAGAAATCATCCACTCCAGCTACACAGAACTCCAAATTCCTTCCTACAACTAAATGTGAAAACCAAAATACCAGTCCTTGGAGGGAAATAAAAGAACCTATATGAAGAATTGGCAGACTATATGTTTGTCAACCTTCAGGAAAACATGGAAACAGCCCCAACTCACCAGGAAAATCATCACTTGTGATCAAACTATTCTGTGACATTTTACGTCTCAGGCATCTCTCGCTTCATACCTAGTAGTTCCGCTTTGCAACCCATTTGCCGGTATCAACCCCAGACAGCCTCGAGAGCGATCTACTATTGTAGCAGAACAATTTTAACACGGAGCGTTCTGCTTTTTTCCTGTAGAGTGATTTTACAAACACCTCAATCAAACATATTTCCCCCCGTTGCTAGTCTTTAAAACCAAGGGATATCAGGTTTCCGATGTGTCTGGAGAACAGCAACCATAATTAAACAAACAAGCAAACAAAATACCCAAACAGGGAACAAGCGAAGAACAAAGGAAACACAAGCGTGTGAACAGGAAATGAAGCAACTCTATACACATAAATACCTTTTAGGGCCGCCAACGTAGGTGAAAGTAAAGGTGGAGTCTGAGTATCTGAAATCTGAAACGGAAAGTCTAGTTAAAAGCTATCCCTTGAGTGGGCTTTTAACCCCAATGCTGATCAAGACTCCTATTTCCCCGAGCCTAGGGGAGGCCTGCCCGGGCGGCGGCGAGGGCGGGAGGGCAGCGAAGTACCCGCGCCCCGCTGCGCCCGAGGGGATGCTGCGCACCCCCAGCGGGTGCACCGTGAGGCCGCCCCCCGCAACAAGTGCCGGGTGCCATGGCAACAGTGGGAATTTCCCAGTCGGGCAGCCGGAAGCGGCCCCCGCTGGGCTTCAGCCTGCGAAAGCAAAATCCCATCCCTCTCTCCAGGGAGCAAAATGGACGAAAGGCGACCCCCCGGGCTGGGTCGCTGGGTGCCTCGGGAACCCGGGGATCCTTTCACCTTTCCGGCCTTTATTTCGCCAGTTGGAGAGGGACAGAGGGAGCCAAACGGGGGCCGAGCCGGGCCGGCGCTGCCCCCGAGGGGCCTCGGCGCCGGGCGCAGCAGGGAGCGCAGCGCAACGCAGCGGCTTCATTCCCGGCCACCGCCGCTGAGCCCGCTGCGCAAAGCCGGCGGTGCAGCCACGGCCAGCCCCGCTCGCCGCCGCCGGAACCGGGAGGCGGGCTGGGCGCCTCGGGCGTGCACGGGGCCGGATCCCCTGCTCGGGTCACACAGGCTCTGTCCCCACAGCTGGGGACTGACAGACCTGGGGGTGGGGAGATGGAGGCTGGCGCCCCCTCCCCCTTTTGGCTCCAGCTCTCCGATGCTGCCAAACGAACCCCGGAACGGGGACGTGCAACCCACACCCCCACTGCCCCTACCCTCGCCGCGGTCGGAGAGCCAGGAAGGGGCGGCGGGCGGACGGGGGAAGCGGGCTTCGGGTCCGAGGCGCGGCGAAGGCGAGAACTCACCTGCAAACAGGCAGTCCTTCTCGGCTCTGGACTTCTGGATCACGACGTCGATATCCTTCTGAATTCGCTCTTGCCTTGAACACATCCCCATGAAATAAATCCCTGGAAAAGAAGCAGCCACTATTTCCACCCCACCCCACCCCCTCCGCACGCTTCCAGCTTTCGTAAATATTCAGTTAAAAACGAAACCTCTGGCCGAGGCAGGGGCTGAAGGCGAAGTGGTTTCGGAAGTGATCCCGGGTGAGAGAGGAGGTGGCGGCGGAGGAGGCGGAGGAGGGGGAGGTCGGCTTTGCATTCCCAGATGTGGCCGCCCAGCTGCCGCTCGCTGCTGCTGGATTCCAGTTTCCTCCCCTTCTGACAATGGATGGCAATGACACCGACTCTCACTTTCTCCCTCCCCCGCCCCGAGGAGCGGCCGTGGGGGGCAGAGGGGGCCGAGAGGCCGGGGAGCGAGGGGCGAGCCCCGCTCGGGCTCACGCGCGCACACCCCCCGCGGCCGCACGCCGGCCTTGCACACTCGCGCCCGCGGGCGGCGGCCGAGCTCAGCCTGCTGCAGCGCCGCCCGCCGCAAACCCTCCGTGTCCGCCGCCCGCCGCCCGTCACCCGGCCCGGCCGCGGGCCGCCCGGGCTTTAATAGTATCCGCCGTCCCCGGCGCAGGCTGCATCCCCCCGCCCCCGACCTCCACTCGTGCCGGGAGCCGAGTGACAGTGGAGGTAGTGAAGACTCCCTGGAGCTCCCAGCCTTCCCTCCCCCATACACACCACTTTTATGAATTCGACTCCACTTTCAAAAGGAATCGTGAGTCATATGGAAAACCCAAACCTGAGTGGCTGGCAGGGAGAAAAGGGGGAAAGGAAAAAGCTTGAAAAACTGAAAAATAAATAAAGCGAACAAATCTTTCCTTGTTGTCACATCAGGCAAGACGGGAAAAGCCTTGAACTTGCTCCAGACACGCACCCTCCTCCCCTTTCCTTAGTGCCGGGGTTGCTTTGGGATTTTTTTGTTGTTTTTCTGCCAGGTTAGTAGTACCTCCCCCCCCCCCCCCCCGCGCTCTTTATGAAATGCAGCCCCGGGTTGGCGGGGCGGGGGGAGGCGCCCTCCTTCTCCCCTTCCAAAGATGGGCCAGTTCTTCCATCTTAGGAATATCTGTCCATTAAAATATGGCAGAAGTAAGAGGAATGTGCCAGGGTCTCCCTAAAAGACTTTTTCTTGGATTGTTTTTAAAAGCCTCCCCTTTCCAGTTAGTCACTGGAGAGCACTCACAAGCCTGCATGGCTTGGACAGGAGGTACTGCTAGGACCCTCACTTCTGTCCTGCCGAGACACCTGTGCTGCCGTATGCAACACGGAAGGCCTGGGAAGGGAACTTATCATATGGGTCTTTGCTGCTCTGAGAAGGTCCCCCTGACGCCCAGGTCTCCTTTTGTTTTGAGTCCCCAGTGCCTTGTGCAGGGCCCGAGATACACAGGAGGAAGGCCTGGATGCTGGCTCAACACATGCATGGTGGTTCCCTACAGCAGGTTCTTTACAGACCACCCCCCCCCAACCAGTTTAATCAAGCCTCTTTCCTCATCATGGAGAGTTGCCCAAATGGCTCCAACCCTTAGTGCAGTTCTGATTGCAGAGCAGTAAGAATGAGTATCAGCCCTGTTGGATGCTTAAGGCTCTGGCAAATAGAATTTAAAAAAAAAAAAAAAGGTTCTAGCAAATCAAAAGCAAGAGATCATAGGTTCTAGTCCCTTCTATGAAGTGATCTGCTGTAGGCCATACTTATTGTGTAAAACGAAAAAAAATGAAACGGACCACTGTGTCCTCTGCATCTCCTGCAGCCTTTGATGCAGTGGAGCCACAGTCACCATGGCTGCTTCTCCTGCTCAGGCCTGTCTGGGAAGACTTCCTGACCAGGGCAGGGTCAGAGCTAACCTGCTTTGTGTCTGCCCCTTCCTCTCTGGCACATTACCACTGAGTTTATGAGAGCATCCTTCTCCCATTATGCGCTCTAACTTCTCCAAGAGACTCAAATCCTTGAGCTCACAGGAACAGCCGAGGATTGCCTCTCCAAGTAGAACGCTTATTGCATATAAATTTGAAATACCTCTACAGCCACCAAATGTTTTTGCCTGGATCACCTTAATTTATTACTCACTGTATAAAAGTTGCTTGAGATTTATTTAATATCTGGCTTGTCTCAAGCTTCATTGGCTGCCCTGTTTTTATTAAACAAAGCTAACCTCACCTTATCCATGTTCTTAAGGTGTCATACATTTAAATACTTCTAAATCTATCTGGTATGCATTTCTGTAAGATCAGTGTCTCTCATTAAAAAACTATACCAAGACAGCCAGGCGTGGTGACACAGGTCTGTAATGTTACCACTCAGGAGGCTGAGGCAGGAGGATCACCTGGAGTTCAAGGCCACCCTAGGCTACACAGTGAGTTTAAGGCCAGCCTGAACTACATATTGAGACCCTGTCTCAAAAAAAAGAAAAAATGCTCACCAGTTTAGAAAAACTGGGAAGTAATGTGGCCCCGCCAATGGCCACAGGCAAAGAGTGAAACCAGTAAAGACCCTTTAATGGATTCCCAGGGAAGCCTGGACCTTGTGGGCTCTCAAATGGTCCCAGGGCAAAAATGTAAGTACTTTGCCTATGCTAAAAGGCCCACCTGGGGAAGTGTGAAGTGGCATTAAGGTCAAAGTGTGATGTATGGAAGATAGTGGGTCAAGGGACATACTTATCCAGAACTCATTGAGTGTCAAATACTACTCTCAAAGTTTTACAAGTCTTAATTCATTTGATAGTCACAATAACTCCATGTAGCAGCTGTTATTATTCTTCACATTCTACAAAAGAGGAAACTGAGGCACACCAAGGTTAATTAACTCCTCAAAGGCGCATATGGCCTGCAATGAACTTCTTCCTCTCTCCAAACCCTTCAGCAGTTGAACTGAACTCAAAGGAGAGATAAACAAAAGTCTTCCGGGAGGTCATCCGGCCCGCCAAGGGCCACAGGGCAGGAATGAAGCCCATCAGAGAGCCTCTAATGGGTTCTCCACAGTGTCTGCCCGTGGCAGTAATATTTCCCTTTCCTGTATTGAACTTTCTTTTTCTAATGTTCCACCCTTTACTGAAGCCTCAAGCCCAACAAGAGCCCGGCCTCTGTCAGTGAAGGGGGATCAAGAAAAGAGGGGGTAGGCAGGGTTAGGAGCAAGGCATCAGCTCCCTTTGCCCAAGGCAGGAAACAGCACCGAGTTTTCCCTGTGCACAATCAGTGCTGTGGAAAGCAACCACACAGGTCCCAAGTCCCAGCGAAGCAGTGGGATTTTCACCTTCAAGAAATGGGACCCCAATGCTCTTCCAAGGCCAGATTTCTGTAACTTCTCCTTGACATGGTCTCATAATAGAAAGAGACCCATGAAATTCAAAATGCCTGTTTGGTCCAAGTGGCCTCTGCTAAGTAGAGTGAACTTGGGTGAGTCTTACTTTATAAAGCCTCTAGCAGTTTTGCTTTGGGAGAAATTAATCCAACTAATTCTGCTTTTTTTTTTTAACCTCATCTGATAAGGTCTAGACCTACTGATTGAGCAAACCAGAGTCAACCTTAAATAAACCTGACAAAATGAGTTTTAGGTGGTTTGATGTGAAATTTATCCCAACTTGATCCTTACTGTATTCCTTAACCTAAGGTTACACGGGGCGACTCCCTGTCGGTGCTGAAGTTTTATGGCCCTTTTTGGAACTTTAATGAAACTATTACTATCAAACCTGCAATATGAAGTCTGAAGTCTTCTTTGTAGTTCCAAGCTTTGCTCTAATTTAGTCCTAGTTTTCTCACTTTAAACATTATTCTCCCCCCAGGAATTTAGCGCAGTGGTTCCACCGCCGGCCTTGCAAGCGCAAGGTCCCAAGTTTGATCCCCAGTACCCCCCCCAAAAAAAACATTATTCTCCCTTTCTACCAATAAATACCGTCAGTCCTCAGACTGGATAACTCACCCCCATGCAAACTGAATCTCAGCTTATACTTGATTTTATTCTTTGATTTAAATACATTCTTCTTTTCCTTTTTTAAACTATATAAATACTGCATGAACATGTATTCTCATAAGGAAGTATTTGAGACACATATTACTACATACAGCAAAATGCAAAACCTCTCATCTACCTACTCCCTTAGACCAGCAGTAACTATTACTAATAGAAAGAGTCCTTTTCTTTTTCTTCAGGCTGGCCTCAAACTTGCCATCCTCCTGATTCAGCCTCAGTGCTAGGGTTACAGGCATGTACCACCATTTCTAGTGGAGAATCCTTTCATTTGCATTCATATCTACACACAAATAAAAATCTACAATAGATTTGTATGCATAACATTTAATTAAAATGGAACCATGTAATACATGTTCCTATGCAACATTATTTGTCTACTTGTTTTTGTTTTTGTGGGTTTTTTCTTTGTACCGGGGATCAAACTCAGGACCTTGTGCATGCCAGGCAGGCACAGTGCCACTGAGTTTACATCCCTGGCCCTTGTTTTTTGTTTTTTTGAGACAAGGTCTCTCTATGCAGTTCAGGCTGTCCTCAAACTCACCACAACCCTCCTACCTCAGCCTCTCGAGTGCTGGGATTAGAGGCATGCACCACCACACCAGGCCTGTCTACTTGTTTTGAATAATTTTCTACATCAGTGCAAAGTGACCTACCTCATTCCTGTTAGCCACTACAGAAAACTATCGAATGAATGCCAGTACTGTATTTTAATCACGCCTCTGCAGTCAACATGGCTTTTTCAAAACGTTTTGTGATTAACACAATTTGCAATAAGTATACATCTTTATGCACAGTTTCAGCAGTTTGTTTGCTATAGACTGTTAAAAGTGGATCAACTGGATAACAGAAGTGGCAATTTAATTTTTTTTTTTTTTTTTGGTACCAGGGATCAAACTCTGGACCTTGCGCTTTCGAGGCAGGCAGCAGCACCACTGAGCTAAATCCTGGGCCCACAATTTAAATTTTTTGATAAGTAGATGCAAATTGCTCTCAAAATTGCTTTATCAGGGCCGGGGATTTAGCTCAGTGGTTTTGCCGCCTGGTGCGCTAGTGCAAGGACCGGAGTTCAATCCCTGGTACCAAAAAAAAAAAATTGCTTTATCATTTTATACCACATCAACCATTTTTGAGAATATCTAACTATCTCCAGCAATCTAATAGTAGATACATCTGTCTTTGTGGGGCTTTTTGTTGTTGTTTTTTGTTTTTTCCTAAACAGCCAGATTCATCTTAGCTGAGTATGGTAGCCCATGCCTGTAATCCTAGCATTCAAGAGGCTGAAGCAAAAGGATTGCCCTGAGTTCAAGGCCAGCCTGGGGTAAGCAGTAAATTCAAATTCAGCCCGAAGTACATAGCAAGACCCTGTCTCAAAAAACAAACAGAACTGGGAGGGGGAGAAGGACAGGGAGGAAGAGAAAAAAAAAAAGAAGGGAGGAAGAGGGAGA